TTACGTTTGCATTATATTATTTATGTTGATTTTTACGTTTACATTTGACAAAATTCGTTTAATCATTTTTTTTATTTCTTTATTTTTATTTGTTTGCACTCATTTGGATCAAATTGCATTGATTTGTCCTTTATTTCTTACACTGATAAATTATTTGGGTTATATGGCTCTAAGTTTTGCTTCCTAGATCCCGGGCTTGATACGGCTCTAAAAGATAGAGGTCATCTCAGCGCAATGGTTAACACCAAGTTAATAAGTAATCATATGGAGAGGTGTCAGGGCCAGCATGTGCTTTATCAAGTGATGCTGGTGGCTGGATACATAGACAAATGGAACAAGTGCCTTAATCCTATTTCTAGAACTGCCAGCATCTGCTGGGCAAACATCTGTATAGCTGTGTGGAAAAAAAAAAAAACAATCAGTCACACTTAACACAATTAACACATAGAAACACATTGCCCTGTGTTCAGTCTCCTGTCTACTTCACTCATATTTCTTTGCTTATAGGCTCCACCACATTCAGGCAATAAACTTGCTGGATTCCAACTTAACTGGGTTCGTAGACCTCTGGCTGTTTATCCTCTGAAACTCACTGAGTGACAGCCTGCTTGGGCTACTGAGGAACTGCTTATTTACAGTCTTACTTGAGGCTGTAGTGAGTATAAACCAAAGAACTGATCGGATAAACTCTGTTTAAAGGGATGATTCTCAGGATTTTTAATATTTTCGCTACTTATCTTGATGAATTAAGATTTTAGCTACTTATCTTCATGAATGAAGGAAGAGAGAGAAACTCTCAAAAGCTTGTCTTTGAAATGTTATGTAAGTCCATTAATTTACTGCAATACTCTGTTATTTTGGCATCTTGTCTACTGGACTAATACAGCTAATTTAATCTACACTATATATATACACACATACATACACAGACATGTGTCATGCCTGACAGACACAGGCACTCATAGATAGGCACACAATCACATGCTAAACTGGCACAGTCACAAGAATAAACAAAAAGTGACACACACAGACACAGGCATACATAGATAGGCATTCAAAGGCTAACCAGCCACCATTTCCACCATACCTACCTATGATCTGTGCAGGGACATGGTGATCTGCACCTGATAAGCTTTTTCAGAACCAGTGGCTGTAAGCCTTTCCCTCTATAGGATGTACAGAGTGAGGGGTCAGGCAGCAGAAAGCCACGGGCCTACTTTTCTAGCCCTTGAAACTCTTAGCTATTTGCTCCCCACCCCGATCTCCTTCTGGTACAGGGTCTTGTTTATGGGATATTACCCTTAGCTATGTATAATCTATGGTGGTGCCTCACTACCATACTACGGGCAGTATTGATCCAACAGCAGCAATTTCATAAATGCCTTTGCTGCAGAGTAACTGGAAAGCAATTTAATTTAATTCTGCACCTCGCATCTGTATGGAGTCATGCAAAATATATTTTATTAAATTGTAAGCTGGCTGTATCAATGATGTCAACTGTGCTGCCATGTTGGAGCCCAGGCAGGGACTAGAGCAGATTAAGTCAGCAGGGAAGAAGTATGCATAATCTACTAAAGCGTGCTCACAAACAAATATTTCCATCCCTGGGGATCGTACAAGTGAGGGATTAATAATAATACTGTTCTCGGGAGCCTAGTCATATGTACAAAAAGTAACATTAAACTGTATATTAAACTGTTCCAAAACTCTATCAGATGTTAGATGTTTGTCTGTGACGAGTCATTTGTAAAATATTAGATTCATTTCATCTATTTAAACGGAATGGCCTGAAGCCCAGGAACACCCACCTTAGATATTCCATTATTTAAATTGTTTCTATTTACATAATTGACCATCACTCCCTAACCTACTGCACCTTCAAGCAACTTACTTAATGAATTGACCTGAAAAGGCTTCCATCACTTAAAGGGACACAAAAAGTGAAGAATTCTATAGAAATTGTCAGTTTTCTAACTTTATCTGGTTACACCAAATGGCTGTCAATCAAACAACAAGTCTTGTTACTTCCTGGTTTGGGTTAGCTCAGTGGAGCTAAACTCAACAGGCAACAATTGCCCAAAACACCTGCCTTGCAAATACTTCTCATTGAGCTGCATTGGGACGTCTGTGATTGGACAGTCACAGAAAGTCTGAACTAAATTAGAAGTGGAGGTCTTGCAAAAGCTTTAGATAAGAGCAAGCTGTTTTTAGATATACCCTAACTGAAAAAAATGTCTAATTAAATGCATGCATGTTTTTAATTGGGGGATATATCTACTAAACAAAGTTTTTTTTCAATTTGTTTTTTTAGGCAGTTAAGTGTACATTCAATGGGTTAGCTTTCATGAGACTGTTTTATATTTGATTTATTTGAGCATGATCTCAAATATGAGAGGTTATTCACTAAACACAGAAATATAGTAAATAGAATTAAAACATATATTGAAACACTAATGATTACATTTATTTTCACAATATTCTGTTTTTTGTTTTCTCAGAAAAAAAAACACAACTCCAAAGGTGGTTTGCCTGGGAGTTTATTCAATCAACACAGAAATATATTAGATAAAAATCAGAATTACAAAATTAGCTGATTTGGTAAAACTCTCTATCTTAAGCTTGTAGCTTGGGTATTTTAGTTTAAATTTTGCAAGTCAGTTTGAAATTCACTACAATACGGTGTTTTGTGAATAAACCCCACAGTATGATGCTGCATGCAGGATTTTCCCTGTCTGCGCATTATCAGTACTTTTCTTATGCAGTTTAGTAATTTACGTTTATTGTAATTGCAAGTCCTCTTGCATTAACAGTTTGCAATATATCATTTATTTACATGTTGAGTAAGATACATTTTCATTTACATATGAATTCTTTACAGCATGATCTAGAAAAAAACAATACAAAATAAGAGGTTGTTTTAATAAAGGGGTGACCAAAAAGTCAATCTTTACCTGTTACAAAACTATAAACCCCATAATGCTTTGTCAGAGCCTGAGCTGTTACGTTAGTCCAGCTACCATGATGCTTTGTCAGCTAGATATTTTCCTTTTGCCTATCCTTCTCTTAAAGGGACACTATAGGCACCCAGACTACTTCATCTCATTGTAAAAAGAAACTGACATGTTTACATTGCAGGGTTAAGCTCACCTCTAGTAGCTGTCTACTGCGCATGCATATTAGGTTTCCCCATTGGTGTGATGACACAGGAAAAGGAGACCTAGCCAGCAGTGAGGAAGCCTTGGAGCTGGAATTAAGATAAGTTTACAAAGGGGTTTTAACCCTTTACTCACCAGGGGGGAGAACTACATAAATAGGGACACTATAGCGTTAGCAATATAGCTTTGTATTCTTAAAGCGCTAATGTTACTTTAAATGGACTCTACTAAGCAGAGCATCGTGGAGTATTTTTTTTGTTCTGCTATCACGCTATATCGTGCGCACTAACTGGATTAGCAGATATGGTAAAAATAAAACTATAACCCCAGTGCTCAGCGTTCTGTGGCAGATTACGTGGAAATTCTGTGTGGCCAGTTTGTAGCCAGACACCAGGACCAAACATTGAGCAATAACTTTATTTTTAATACATCTGCTAATATAAATATGTGGCTGTTCAACTGATGTTAAATAAAGTAAAAACAAACACAAATTTCCTGCCACATTGAATAATGTCAGATATTTTCTTGCATTATAACCATAACCAGGGAAATACCTATGGGCTTATTTCCATAGTAGCTATTTAAAGTGCTCACCATTTTGCACAGTGGACCTTTGTTTCAGACCTGTTGACAGTCAGTAGTCAAAACCATGGTGTCTTTCCCTATATTTAAATAATGTGACACTCTTCTCTAACTTGTGAATACTTCCGCTTTGAAATACTTATTAAAGGGGAACTGTTACTTAAAAGGATTATATATATATATTAATAATATATTAACTTATCAGTTATACATAAAAAATATGTATTTGTAAGGTATGAAAAATGAAATTTAGAAATCCACATAACTCTCCTGGAACTGGGCATCTCCATCTTGACACCCTGTCAATTATTGTTATAATTGTTGCACTTTTCTGCCATTGAATATAGTTAGCGGAAGAGAAGAAACTGATACAATGTTTCTGTCCTTCTCCTCATTTGCATTGTGTGCCCAAACAGAACATCAAATGAAAAAACTTAGTGTGCATTATATGTGATTTTCAATGTTGTACTCATTGGTGTAATTTTCAGAGAAGCGAAATTGTTTAACATCAAAAGAAACAGCATAAATGACAAGGTAAACCATGGTATGTAGAAGATGTGAGTAGTTTATGTCCTGGATATCATTGCCTAAATATATGTAATTACAGTCACATTTGTTGTACACACACACAGCACACACAGCACCCTCACGCACACACAGCACCCTCACACACACAGCACACAAACAGCACACTCACACACAAACAGCACACTCACACACACACACATCACACAAATAGCACCCTCACACACACAGCACCCTCACACAGCACACTATCAGGACCCTAACAAACGCACACACAAACACCCTCACACACACAGCACACTACCAGCACCATCACACACAGCACACTAACAGCACCCTCACAAATACAAACACACTCACCTACATAGCACACTAACAGCACCCTCACAAATACAAACACACTCACCTATATAGCACACTACCAGCACCCTCACACACACATCACACTAACAGCACCCTCACACACAGCACACATACACAGCACCCTTACACACACAGCACCCTCACACCACACACACACACACACACAGCAGTGTATGTATGTGTGTGTGTATATATATATATATATATATATATATATAAATGCATACATATACACGCGGCGTGTGTTTGTGCTTTAGGGTGCACACCCTAATGCAATAGGCTGCGCACGCCTATGTATGTAGCCATTAAACTTCTAGATGCCCCCTCCTTAAGTAATGCACCTATGCACTACAAAAACTTAAACATGCACCTATCAGCCCGCCCATTAATTCTTCATCCCTTAAATTCTTCATCCCTTATAACCTTCCTCTGCTCTCTCCTATTTTCTCCCAAACAATCCTCCCGTACGTTCAGGGATATCCAAATCATTTGTTTCCCTCTCTGTATTTGTCCCTCATCCTTTTAGATTGTAAGCCTGTTTAGGCAGGGCCCTCTTCACTTACTATCCCCGAATGCCAGATATGTTTTGTCAGAATTATTTGTTAGTCTTGGTTTATCAATCGCGCATAGCAGCTGATTATGTTGGCGCCATATAAATTATTCTAATTGTAATTATGTTTTTACTGTCACTCTGTTTCCTTCAGATCCACACCTATTGGAGCGTTAATTTATATATATAAACATTTATGCATATATATATATTTTGTTGTTGTTGTTGTTATTTTTGTTAATGCACTTGACCTGCGTTTACACGATATGTGGTATGTTAAGTTCTTCTTGTAAAACTGCATTTTAATATTGTATTCGTGGATAATGGATTTGGTACAAGACTCTTTTACCTTAGTTTCTATAAAAATTTTGTATATTATGTATTAACGTTCAAAAAAATAAATTCAGCAGTTCTTAAAACATTTGATTTCTTTTTCTTTTTTTTTTTCTTTTTCTTTTTTTATTCTTTATTTTTCGTGCAGAAAATTACAAAACTGGTCTGCAATGCCACGACAGCAAAACAAACCAACATAGTCAAAACCGTTATACAATGTCATGGCAAATAAGAGAAGTGCACATTTTTATATATAGTAGTCATGCTTATTCCGTAGATTTATAGTTATATAGTTATATAGCAGCCCTGCACCTTGTTAGTAGTAGTAACTGAGAGCATGAGTAACTTTATGCAGGGAATGAATGAATGCTCAGGCTAGCAGTAAGATATTAGGCGTTTCAGGGTGGCTCACCAGTATACAGGCGGTAGTTGAGTGCTTAATATACCATCACTTATGTAGCTACAATGGTTTGTACCAGCAATGCTGTATATATTCTCAATATGTATAAGCTACGTGTCTGAATTATTGGGGAGACTTAATAGGCTGCATTAAGCTGATGGATGGCCATGGGGGCCTAGGAGACAAAGCGTACTTTATCTGGGCAGTAACCTGCTAAATAATAACTGTTAAACATTAAAATAGAGGCAATCATCAGCCCGCTACCCAGTTGTGGGGCAAAGTATGTCCCCCAGTCCTTCACGACCTGGCTCTCTGGTCTGCGGGTCTGGAATGCGTCCATATGAAAGGTAAGGGTGGTCGGCAGTTGTGGCTGGTCCGGCAACAGGTAGGTAGGTAGCGCCAGTCTCGGAGGCTCAGAGATTTAGCCAATGCCTCTACTGGGCCACTTCACGCAGTCTCTGTGAGCTGAGCCTCTGTGGACTCCAGCCCCCACCGCCTCCGTCGGTCTCCAATCAGTGCCAGCTCTCCACGCAGTGTACAGGTTCTCTCCTGGGTAGGTCAGGGTGCTCCGTTCACTGCGGGGTCTTAGGCCGTAGGCGACTTGGTGGGGGTGTTGGTGTCTCATTTTGGAAGAGGGTCTCCGCAGGGGGTTCCTGCGGACGGGCTTAACCCCTGGAGTTGACCGCCGGGCTTGCTTCCTCCTCCGCCTGGGTGCCACACCAATCCGCTCCGAGTGGGTTGACACTGACCTTTTGAGGTGTAGGAGGTGAGTGGTGTGGCATACTTTCCTCTGCTGCCGCTCCTCGAGTCTCTGCCAGAATTCCTCCAGAATTTTGTCCAGCTTAGCTAGGGTCGAGGCTACCGGGTCTTGTGGCATGGTGGGTGGCCCGGCATCTGCCATCTTAGGTCGGCTAGGGGGACAGGCCTCCCTTCTCAGCCCATGCCGGGCGACAGGGCCATCGGTGACCAGTGAGTGTAGCTGGGGTGATGGTGCCGGGGTAACCCCCGCCGGCAAGGGGGGGAACGGGATCCCGTGCGGATTCAGCTTGTTCCAGTGGGAGGATAAACGGGGAGATCGGCCGCTTCTCCCGCGCTCCCACCCCCAGGTAGGCCGCAGTGGCGTTTCAGTTTTAATCTGTTTGGCTTGCCTCAGTTAGGTTTTAGATTAAAGCAGGATTGCGTGTAGGCTGCATCCAGCGTTCAGATTGCTGTTTTTGGGCTAGCTTGGGTGAGTTTTGTAAAGGTTTTGCAGATTCTCTATCAGAGCACACTACACATGCAGCCATTCAGTTTGCAAGCCAGGCCCCGCCCCCCTTGATTTCTTTTTCTTTATGACGCTGATATAATGTTTAAGCAGAGAGTTGTAGCAACCAGTTTAGGTTAATGTTAGGCACATAGACAATTAATGAGTAAAAGTGCAAAAAAGTAAACATTCACACCTACACAGCATGGAACCATACTTAACAGTTAAAATTTTCTATCTTTTAACATCAAAACAAACAGTATAAATTACAAAGTAAACTGCGATATTTAGAAGACATGTGTAGCTTATGTGCAGAATAATGTTGTTTAAAGACTTGTAATTACAGTCAGACATATGTTGTATGCGACTAAGTGAATATGTAACCATTAAAAAGCACACACTTGAGTGAACAGAATGAACATGGCAAATATATAACTTGTAAAGTGGCACTCTAACCACCATAACCACTACAGCCTATTGTAGCAGTTAATGTACAGAAAAATTTTTAGGCGCCATGCTGTCCAAGCTTTTTTTTTATTTAATTTTTTTTTATATAACTTTGGATATTGCCTGTATGGGGGGAATCAGCCTGAGTGATTGATTTTGTAATTGTTAGTAATGTGAATTAGTAAATCAAGGACTTGTTTTGCGTGCTATAAAACCTGGTTGCATAGCTTAATCCACAAAATCCTTTTCCACTAATCAGCAGATCATTAAACATCAAGGCTTGGTTTCTGTATTACTAAGTAAACTTTTTTACTGACCTGAAACCCTTATCCTGCACGCAGCTTTAACATGGCAACTATGAGAGATTTTTTTTTTTTTTTTAAGAAAATGGCACTTTAATCAACACAAAATAATGTTTGTTATATGTACGATATTGATAATATTAAAGTGGTATAAAGGAAATTTGTGAGATGTGTAAAATAGCTCAATCTATAAGTTACATAACATGTTAAGTAAAAACAAAATATAAAGATCTAAGAACAATTCAAAAAGTAAAGCACTATATATAAGAAGGGTAGCTCAACAAGACTCCGCTCTTATACTTAAAGGGACACTATAATTCACCAGAACAACTACAAATACGAAACAAGTCCTGCGCTCAAACTCCCACTACTCTTGGGCGGCAGCAACGACCATAGTACACATCAGTCCCAATACATACAGTAAAAACCAAAGAAAAAAGTTGCCTGTGCTCTTCCCAAATTTAAGTACTCCAATGACCATGAGAGGGAATGCCCACCTGCCACGTCAAGGCAAACCTCTTAACCTCCATTTGTTTAACTATGCATAAGGATTTAGGAAGAGCTCAGGTAACTTTTTTCTTTGGTTTTTACTGTATGTATTGGGGCTGATGTGTACTATGGTCGTTGCTGCCGCCCAAGAGTAGTGGGAGTTTGAGCGCAGGACTTGTTTTTTTGTATTTGTATTCACTTTTGTTTTTAATTCTTTATTTTGGTTGTGCATGGATGATATAAGATGGCATTTCACACTGTTAAGCAACGTAAACAATTGTAATCACATAGTGGGAAGACTGAACAATAGAGCTTATTCTGCACATTTTTATATTAAAGGACCACTCTAGGCACCCAGACCACTTTAGCTTAATGAAGTGGTCTGGGTGCCAGGTCCAGCTAGGGTTAACCCATTTTTTTTATAAACATAGCAGTTTCAGAGAAACTGCTATGTTTACCTATGGGTTAATCCAGCCCTCAAAGCCTCTAGTGGCTGTCTCACTGGAGGTGAGCTGTTCCGAGGTATGTCTTGTCTGAGAGTGCGGGGCCCTTCGTCATGGTGTCGTCTACCAGATGGGACTGTATGCATGACGAAGGAGTGGTGCGGGGGTAGCCCCTGGATGAGTCCCTGTTGAGGCTTTAGGTGACTCACCCATGGTCGAGTGTTGGGGTGCTGGAGCTTGCATTGGGTCTTCCGCCTACTTCTCCCTGCTGTCCAGGTCCCTCTTCGGGTCCGTATCGGCACTGCGGGCTTCTGTGTGGAGTACCTTGGTGCTGATGCTGATGGGACTTCTTCCGGGGCACCCACACAGCAAAATATCCTGGCTCAGAAGTCTGCAAATAGTCGGCCTAACTGTTCCGACAGTGGGAGCAAGCAGGGCTTGGGTGCTGGGGCCCGAGTGGCTTCCGCCATGTTGGGTGTCGATGGCCCGGTACCTCCGTTTTGAGCTGCATGCTTTGGTTGCCGGGATATCCCCCACTGGCAGGGGGGCGGGAGGGTGTTCCGGGGAGACGTCCAGCAAAGTGGGGTACAGTCGGCTGGGGGATCTCCAAGTAGGCCTCAGGTCTATCCCCTGGATGCGGTCGCCAGTTTTGATCAGGGTCTCGATTTGCCTTCTTCTCCATTCTATACCCCTATAGGTTGGAAAGCTGGCAATGTGCAGATAATTGCAGTAATTTTAATTGATTTTTAGCTGTTTGGCCCGGAGCTCTGTTCGGCTGTCAGGCTCTGCCCCCTGTATTAACTTTTGTATCACACAGCTGCCGCCCATCCCATGTGTTCCCTATTAAGTGTTAATAAGCATGTAGGGGTTTATATAAAAATACCCCTCTCTGTCTCATTAGAGATATTTGCCAGAAGCTCAAGGAAGCTAGGGGAATAGTCAGTGTAGGACCCACCTAAGAGGTTTGCCTTGACGTAGCAGATGGGCATTCCCTCTCATGGCCATTGGAGTAACTAAATAACCTCCATTTGTTTAAATATGCATAGGGATTTGGGAAGAGTGCAGGTAACATTTTTTTATTTGTTTTTTTACCAGAACCAGTGTGCAGCACTGCCATTTAGTGTCTCCACCCTCTGCATGCAGACACTGAACTTTCCTCATAGAGATGAATTGATTAAAGGACCACTCTAGGCACCCAGACCACTTCAGCTTAATGAAGTGGTCTGGGTGCCAGGTCCAGCTAGGGTTAACCCATTTTTTCAAAAACATAGCAGTTTCAGAGAAACTGCTATGTTTATGAATGGGTTAAGCCTTCCCCTATTTCCTCTAGCGGCTGTCTCATTGACAGCCACTAGAGGCGCTTATGCGTTTTTTCTCACTGTGATTTTCACAGTGAGAGCCGTGTACCCATAGAAAGCATTATGAATGCTTTCCTGGT